TTTTTTTTTTTTTTTTTGTGTGAGTGTGTGTGTGTGTGCGTGAGTGTGTGTGTGTCTCTGTGAGGGGGCGAGGGGAGGGGGGAGGGAGGAGGAGGGAGAGAGGGGGAGAGAAGGGAGGGAAGAGGGAGGGAGGGTGGAGGGAGGGAGGGAGGGGTCAGGGAGGGAGGGGTCAGTGCGTGAGGAGAGGGAGGCGGGGCTTGCGGAGAGGGAAAGAAAGAGAGAGGGAGAGAGGGAGGAGGAGAAAGTGGGAGGGGGAGTGGGTGCGAGGGGGAGAGAGAGAGAGAGAGAGAGAGAAAGAGAGGGAGAGGTAGGGAGAGAGAGAGAGAGAGATGGAGAGAGAGAGAGGTAGAGAGAGAGAGAGATGCGCACCCTTGGGAAGCGTCCTGAACGGGCTCGGGTGCCCTCCGTACGTGAGCGTCGCCGACATCTTCTTGAGCTGGTACTCGCTGTCGACACGCGGTTGCGGGGGCGGGACGACCGAGTGAGTGAGGGCGTCAGGGCTGTGCACTCGACGAGAGAGAGAGAGAGCCGGGGGGGAACGCACTTGCGGTCGACGTACGCCTTGAGCTGCTGCGCCTTGTCGCTCGCGCCGCACTCGACCCAGACGACGCTGCGCGTGTGGTTCGTATCGACCCAGTCAGCACGTGCCTCTCGAGGCGTGAGAGCCCCAACTCGACGAGGAAGAGAGAGCGAGACGGACCCCTTGCTCTTGCCGTTGACCTTGTGCTCGGAGAAGACGACGTCGCGGAAGGGCACGTCGAGGCCGGCGAGGGCGCACAGGTGCACAATGTCGGCGTCGCTTGTCCACTGCGTTGCGCGGGGTGCAAGATTCAGTCGCGGCTCACGAGAGAGAGAGAGAGAGTGGGGCCGCACCCAGTGCAGGTCTCCGAGGTAGACGGCCGTGAGGCGGTTGGCGGCGGTGCTGGTCACGCCCGCGTTGTTGGACGTCGAGGCGGTGGTGCCGTTGCCGTTGGTGTGGGCTGCGGTTGGGCGGACGCCGGTGAGCGGGTTGGCGGGCAGGCCGGGGACGGGGACGGGGAGGGGGAGGGCCGACGACGAGGAGGAGGGGGTGGGGGTAGAGGCAGGGGCGTGGTCGTGGTCGTGGTCGTGGTCGTGGTCGTGGTCCATGTCGGGGTCGTCGCCGTAGTCGAGTTCGAGCGAGAGGGAACGGCGGCGCGAGTCGGCCATGTCTCTCAGAGAGATGAGGATGAGGACGAGGTCGGGGGGTCGAGGCGAGGCGCGGCGGGTGGTGTGGGTTGGGTCGTGCTGTCAGGTGGACGATGGTGCTGCTGCTGCTGAGCTCGGCAGTGCTCGTCGTGCGAGGCGACGAGAGCGAGGATGGTCCCCCACTCTCTCTTGCTCCTCCTCCCTCCTCCTCGTCGACCCGCTCGGCTCAAGATGGGACGCACTGCTGCAGTCCACTTGGTCCCCCTGCGCAACTGCCTGTGCAACCTCCCCTTGTCGCTCCACGCTCCTCTCTCGACCCGCGCCGTCGTGAGCCTCCCCTCTCCTCGCGCATCCGGCTACTCTCGCCGACCGGCTCACCTTTCGCACACACCCACAGGCTCCCCAGTCGCTCGCCGTCCAGCTCACCTTCAAACCCCGACCCACCCCCGATGTGCCCAACCCGCAAACCGTCACCCTCTGCGTCGGCTGGACCGGCCTCCCCGCCCAACCGGCGCTCGTCAACCTCTCTCACCACCACCACCACCGTGGAGCACAAGCACCACCGCCCAACGACCGCATCGAGCTCGACCCGCACTTTGCCACCATGCTCCACCCGCAACTCGTCGAGGGCACCACCGTCCGTTTCCCCCCTCCTCGTTTCCTCTCGCATGTGGGGCGTCGTGGGCTCACCCTCCTCTCCTGCGTGCACACAGGTCTCGATCGAGCTCCTGCGCGACCTGCCGCACGCGACCCAGGTCAACGTCACCCCGCTCACCCCCGACGACTGGGAGGTCCTCGTGCGTCCCCCCCCCCTCTCTCTCTCTCTCTCGCGCGCTCTCCCGGGACTCACCTCACCCTCGCCCGCCCACCCTCCCGCCCGCCCGCTCAACAGGAGACCAACGCCGAGTTTGTCGAGATGTACCTCTTGAACCAGGTGCGCGCGTGCGCAGAGGGCATGACGGTCGGGTGCTGGGTTGGCTCGACGCTCGTGCGCTTTGCCGTCGGTGCGTCCGCTCTCCCTCTCCCTCCCTTCTCCCTCGCTCGCGAGACAGAGCTCACTCTGCGTCACCACACGCCCCGCACCGCCCCGCACCGCACCGCCAGACTCGACCCTCCCGAGCGCGAGCCCCGCCGTCCTCCTCACCACCTCGACCGAGCTCGTCGTCGCGCCCAAGGCGCGCCACGCCCCTCCTTCCTCGACCAAGACGCACGACCTCTCGTCCACCTCGACGGCCTCGGCGGCGGCGGGCCACCTCGCGCCCACCTCGGCCGCCCAGGCAGAGTGGGAACGCGCGCGCCGGACCCTGCTTCGGCTCCTCCCGCCGGCGTTCTCCTGCCCCACCACCACAACCCTCACCACCACCACCACCTCCCCCTCCCTCTCGCCCACCTCCCCCTCACCCACCACCACGGCCCCCACCCCGCCCGACACCCCGGTCGAGCTCGTCGTCCACCCGAGCCTCGCGCGCACCCTGCGCCGCGCGTTCCCCGGGCTTGGAGGGAGGGCGTCGGTCGTGCACTGGGCGCGGCCGGGCGCGGGCGCTGGCTCTGGCTCGGGCGCTGGCGCTGGTGGGGCGGCGGGCGCAGGCTCGGGAGCGGGAACGGGAACGGGAGCGAGGGGAGAGGAGGGAGAGGGCGCCGCGAGTGAGGGGGCGGGAGCGGCTGGAGGAGCTGGAGCAGCAGCAGGAGGGGCAGGAGGAGGAGGTCCAAGCGCGCCGCTCGACGTCGTCGTCGTCGAGTGCGAGCGCGTCCCGCCCGGGCATGCGTGGGCCGACGAGCGCGTCAGGGGGGAGCTGCTCGGCTCGGGCGCGGGCGCGGGCTCGGGCGCGGCGGGAGGAGGAGGAGGAGGAGCGGCGGCGGCGGCGAGGGGAGGGGCGTACGAGCTCGTGAGGTGCGTCGCGCGCGCGCTCTCTCTCTCGGTTCGGCTCCTACGAGCAGGAGGACACTGACCGTGGGTCGATGCGAGGGACCGCAGGCTCGGCGCACCGCTCTCGGCGCAGGTCAAGAAGGCGCGTGCGGCGGCCAAGGAGCGCGAGCAGGAGGGCAAGAGTGCGCCTGGGTCGCCGGCTGGGTCGTGCGTCTCCCTCTCTCCCTCTCTTCTTCCTCTCTTTCCCTTGTCCTCTTGTCCTCTTCGAAGCCCGGGACCGAACGAAGCACTGACGGAGCCTGACCGTCCCCCTTTTCTGGTCCCGCAGCTCGCGCCGCTCGCTCCACCAGCAGCTCGACTCGGCCGCCAACGGCCCGTCCACCACCACCACCGCCACCGCCACCGCCACCGCGTCTCCCGCAGCCGCACCCGCAGCGCCACCGCAGCTCGCCGGCATCGACCGCCCGCTGTCGGCCCTCACGGCGCACGTCGTGCACTCGCTTTCGGCGCGCGCGCTCGGCGGCGCGTCGTCTGGCGCAGGAGGAGGTGGAGGAGGTGCGGCAGGAGCGGTGCCCGGCGTGCTGGTGACGGGCGCGAGCGGCGCGGGCAAGACGGCGCTCGTGAGGGAGGCGGCGAGGAGGATGGCCGTGGACGAGAGGGCGCTGTGCCGTGCGTCGTTGGGTTTCCTCCTCTCTCTCTTTGCTTCCGCTCTCCCTCTCTCTCTCCCTTCCGCTCTCCCTCTCTCCCGACCTCAGGGAAGAGGAGCGAGCGATTGAGCGTGATGCTCGAGCCCGGCACTGACTCGCGCGGTCCCGCCCCGACCTGCAGACACCATCTACGTCGACTGCGCGCAGCACGCCGACGCGCGCCTGCCGGCGCTCAAGGCGCGCTTCAAGGACTGGCTCGACGAGGCGTGCTGGGCGGCCCCGAGCGTCCTCGTGCTCGACAACCTGGACCGCCTCATCGGCGCCGAGGTCGAGGTGCGTGCGCGCGCTCCTCTCCCTCCCACTCTCTCTCCCCCCCTGTCCTCGCTTCATGAGGACTCGAGCACTGATGAGGAGCGAGGACCCCCCCGCGCAGCACGCCGACTCGTTCCCGACGGTCCACCTCGCGCACACGTTCCTGTCGCTCGCCCAGGCGGCACTCGCCGCGCGCCCGGTCGTCCTCGTCGCGACGGCCCAGGGCACGACGACGCTGCACCCGCTCCTGCAGAGCACGCACCTGCTCGGCGAGACGGTGCCGCTCAGGGGCCCGGACAAGACGGCGAGGCGGGACGTGAGTCGGCCTTGAGAGGCGTTCCCTCTCTCTCTCGTCGTCGTCGTCGTCGTCGTTGGTGGCTCCTCCCCCGAGGCGCGCCGAAACTGACTGCCGGACACGCACGCAGATCGTCAACGTGCTCGTCAAGGCCAAGACGTCGACGTCGGACCTCGTCGCGCCCCGGCTCAACTGCGCCTCGATCGCGGCCATCACCGAGGGCTACCTCCCCGCCGACCTGCGCGACCTCGTCGACCGCGCCGTCCAGCAGGCCGCCATCCGCTCCCTGTCGTCCCCCTCCTCCTCCTCCACCTCGACCACGACCACCACCTCGCCGTCGAGCGCGAGCGACGCGCCGCCGCTCGTCCTCACGGCCGACGACTTTACCTCGGCGCAGCAGGGCTTTGTCCCGCTGTCGCTGCGCGACGTCAAGCTCCAGAAGAGCGACGTCGCGTGGGCCGACATTGGCGGCCTGCACGACGCGCGCAAGACGCTCCGAGAGACGCTCGAGTGGCCGACAAAGTACGGCGCCATCTTTGCCGGGTGCCCGCTCCGGCTCCGCTCGGGGTACGTCCCCCCCCCCCTCCCTCTTTGCTCTCCCTCTTTCTCAATGCGCAGAAGTCGACAGTCACTGACTCGCCCCGGTCCCTCTCGCGCACGCGCACGCCGCACACAGCCTCCTCCTGTACGGTTTCCCCGGTTGCGGCAAGACGCTCCTCGCGTCGGCCGTCGCCAAGGAGTGCGGCCTCAACTTTATCAGCGTCAAGGGCCCCGAGATCCTCAACAAGTACATTGGCGCGAGCGAGAAGAGCGTCAGGGACCTGTTTGACCGCGCCCAGGCGGCGAAGCCTTGCGTCCTGTTCTTTGACGAGTTTGACTCGATCGCGCCAAAGCGGTCCGTCCTCCCTCCCTCTCTGTCTCTCTCTCCCTCGTCTCGGTGGACGAGCCTCGAGAGAAACAGCCCTGACCGTCATCATCTGAGCACGCAGTGGCCACGACTCGACGGGCGTCACGGACCGCGTCGTGAACCAGATGCTCACCCAGATGGACGGCGCCGAGGGCCTCGATGGTGTCTACGTCCTCGCTGCAACCTCGTGCGTCTCGTGATATCTCTCGCCGTCGTCGACTCGGTCGCGCAGGGCCCGCCGCTCATCCTTGTTGCTGGCCGCACAGACGCCCCGACTTGATCGACCCAGCGCTCCTTCGCCCCGGTCGCCTCGACAAGAGCATCCTGTGCGACATGCCCTCGCGCACCGACCGTCTCGAGGTGCGCACCCCGTCCCCCTCTTCTCGACGCGCCGCGCCCTCTCCCTCTCGCTCGCGCCACCAGACCTGACTCGTGTCCTCCCTCCCTCGTTGTTCCAGATCCTGCGCTCGGCCGCCCAAAAAGTCCACCTCGCGCCGGGCGTCACGCTCGACGCCTACGCGTCGCAGACGGCCGGCTACAGCGGCGCCGACCTGCAGGCGCTCGTGTACAACGCGCACCTCGACGCCGTGCACGCCGGGCTCAACGCGGCGACCGAGGCGGCGCAGGGCGAGGGTGCGGGTGCGGGTGTGGCGGGCGGCAACGAGGACGAGGACGAGGTGCGGTACGTGAACTTGGGCGGCGGCGAGGAGGGGAGCAAGGTGCTCAGCCGGGCCGAGCAGGCGAGCGTCAACAAGCGGGTGCGTCGCGCACGGTCCTCCTCCTCGGTCTCGGTTCGCCTCTTTTCTCGGGCGCCCCGGAACTGATACAAGTTGTCGTCCGCTCCGCAGCTCGAGGCCATCGTCGCGACGCTCAAGGAGGCGCAGCGCTCGTCGACCAAGGCCAAGAAGGCCGCCGCCGCCCCGGCCTCTCCCGCCTCGCGCGCACCTGTCCGTCTCTCTCTCTCCCTCGCCCCTCTTGCCGCGAGGGCAGCCACTGACACGCCGAGCCCGCCCGCAGACCTACATCGAGGAGGCGCACCTGCGCAAGGCGCTCGAGGGCACGCGCCCGTCCGTCCCGGCCGACGAGCTCGTCCGCCTGCGCAAGATGTGCGTGCCCACCCTTTCTCTCCCTCTTCTCTCCTCTCTCCTTGCGGGCCCGACTGACGAGGCCTCTCGTCGCGCACAGCTACAATGAGTTTGTGTCGGGCCGGAGCGCGAACGGGCTTCCCTCGGGCGAGGCGAGCGACGAGGTTGGCGGGCGGGCGAGCCTCATGTAGCTCTTCTCCCTCTCTCTCTCTCCCTTCTTCTTCTCTCGGACGACGCCGCAATGAAAAGTATCTGGCAACAACACGGGTCGTGAATGCAAGGCTTGAGTGCGTGCGAGAGCGAGACGTCTAGGCATGCGGTTGCGGCGAGACGAGACGAAAGAGGGGGATACGATGAGGGAAGGGGGAGAGAGCGGCGGGCTCAGACGGCGGATGTGTCGCCGCCCGTGACGTGCAGCATGGCCTCGTGCACCTCCTCGAGCGCCGAGGCGACCGTCGGCTGGACGTGCGAGTCTGTGCGCGGCGGCGGCGAGCGGTCAGGTCGGTTGCGCGGTCCCGAGAGGGAGAGAGGGAGAGAGGGACGCACCGCCGCCCGAGAGGTCGATGACGCCGGCTTGGCGCAGGCGAGAGACGACGGCGGGCGTGCACTGGGTCCAGTAGATCTGCGGCGACGAGGGGGGGAGGGGGAGGAGGACCATGAGCTCGACGAACGTGCGCACGGACCGCGCGCGAGAGGGAGAGAGAGAGAGAGAGAGAGAGAGAGAGAGAGCGGACGCACGAGGACGCTTCTCGCCGTGTACGACTCGACGAGCTCGCGCATGATCTGGAGCGCGCTCGCGTCGACCTCTCCGACGTCGGCCAAGTGAAAGATGACGACGCTCGCCTCTGCCCTCCTCGGTTCCTCGCTCGGGTGGTGCCTGCCGTGGCCGTACCGCTCGAGCCGTCTGAGGCGCTCCTTCATGGCGCCCGTGTTGGCAAACGTGAGGGCGCCGTCGCGGATGCGCACGATGAGGACGCCGGGCACCTCCTCCGAGAGGGACGACAGGAGGCCGCCGCCGTCGTCGTGCTCGTCGTCGTCGTCGAGGGGCTCGAACAGCGACGTGCCCGGTACGCGCCCGAGGATCTTGATGCGCATCGCCGTCGACTGCTTGACGCATAGGACGAGCGAGAGGCACACCGAAACGATGACGCCGACCTGTGCGTGTCCAACCCATCCGCGACATCAGTGCACGTTCGCTCGAGAAGGCCACTCGAGAGAGAGAGAGAGGGAACCAGGCTCGGGACGCACCTCGACGCCGACAAAGAGCGACAGGACGAACGTGAGGAGCATGAGCCCCCCGTCGACCCAGGCGCGCATCTTCCAGAAGAAGCGCACGTCGTGTGGCGCCTCCTCGAGGATCGAAAACACGACGACGATGACGATGACGGCGAGGATGCATTTGGGGAGGGCGGCGAGCAGGTGCAGGAGGAAGTAGGTGACGAGGAGGATGAACGTGCCCGTGAGGAGCGACGCCATCTGGGTCGTCGCGCCCGTCGAGGCCGCGAGGCGCGAGCGCGTGATCGAGCCGTACCCGGGCAGCGACCCGGTGCAGAACGACGTAAAGACGTTGGCGAACCCGAGCGCGCACAGCTCGCGGTTGGGCGAGATCGAGTAGTCGTCTGTGTGGACGCGATCATCCGCCATGGTCAGTGCTCCTGCTCGTGCTCGAGCCGGACCGAGACCGAGACGCAGAGAAGATGGCGACGCACACTTTGACGCCATGTCCTTTGCGGCGACGATCGAATCGAGGAAGCCGAGGATGGCGATGACGGTCGACGTGCCGAAGCACTTGGTGATGTACTGCGTGTAGATGCCCCAGCCGACGAACGGGATGCGGACCTTGACGTTGCCCGGCGAGACGACGCCGAGGACCTGCAGGCCGGCGTCTTGCCAGTCGAACGAGTGCGACAAGACTGCGAGCGAGGGGAGAGGGGGGCGGGGTCGGTGCGTGAGTTGCCGCTCGAGGACGTGTGCCGGCACTATGACGCAGGAGAGAGAAAAGAGGGTGGGGGCGGGGGGACGCACAGGTCGACACGACGACGACGGCGAGCACCTCGGGCACAAACTTGACCCACCTCCACCTGCGCTCGCTCGTCGCGAGCACCTTCTTGACGGCCCTCCCGCCGACGAGGACGGCAAACGCCGCCGCGCTGACGAGCATCGTCAAGCGGTGCGCGTGCGCGAAATGGGTCGCGAGGTACGTCGCCTTTTCGACGACGGATGACGACGCGCCGTGCTGCTCGGTGAGGCCTTGCTCGAGGCCGAGGATCGGGACGAGCTGCGAGATGAAGATGGTGATGCCGACCGCCGTCATGAAGCCGCGCAGGAGGGCCTGGTTGGGGGGGCGAGTACGTGGCGAGAGTGTGAGTCGGAGAGGGCTGCAGGAGGAAACGCGAGAGGGAGAGAGAGAGGGAGCGAGGACGCACCCTCGAGAGGACGGCGTCGAGGAACCCGAGGCGGAAGAAGCCGAGGCTGCGTGGTAAGAGGTGTCAGTGTACGTCGGGCCGTGCACAGTTCTCCCGTAGGAGCTGCCCGCCCGAGGCGGACGAGGCGGCCCCAAGGCTGAGAGGACGCAAGCCGACGCACATGAACGTGACCAGGCCCGACTCGAACGTGATGCACGTCGTGATGGTGACGGCGAGCGTCGCCTTTTGCGCGACGCTGAGCGACCCATGGGCATGCTCCTCGGTCTCGATGACCTTGGCGATGAACTCGCCCGTGAGGAGCGACAGGGCCGCCTCGGGCCCGACCGACAGCTGGCGACAGGTGCCGAGGACCGAGTAGAGCATGGCCGGGATCGACGCGCCAAAGAGGCCGTGCACCGGGTCCGTGTGCACGAGCGAGGTCGCGTACGACATGGATTGCGGGACGAGCATGCTCGTGAGCTGCGCGCGGGTTGCGGAGGGAGGGTCAGGCGGCGAGCTCGCGAGGGGAAGGAGAGGCGGGACCGGGTGGAGGGACGCACCGTGAGAGCGGCCGTGACGTCGCGGATAAAGTCCTTGAGGTTGTAATGCGGGAGCCATTGCAGCTGCGACGACGAAACGATGGAGACAAAAGAGGTCAGGTGACGTCGAACGAGGACGACGAGTGACCGCTCGAGAGAGGGACGCACACAGGGGATGTAGTAGCGCGCACGGATCGACAGGTCCTGCCACTGGGTGCGCTCGCGGGCCTGGCGCTCCTGCTTGCGCTGGATCGAAGCGGCCCTCGTGAGGCGGTGCGGGAGGCTCGCGAACGCGGCGTCGTGCCGGGGCGTCGACGAGCCCGAGGTCGAGGTGGCGCCGCCTGCGTACTGGACGCGCTTGTGGGCCCCCTCGGCGTCCGACTCGAGGGCGGCGTCGGGGTTGTGGTCGTGCGCGGACGAGGCTGAGCGGGTCGGCGAGTGGGCGGCGGCGAGGAGGGCGGTGCGCTCGTTGGAGCTGGACGGCGGGCGGCCTTGTGCCCGAGTCGAGCTCGCAGTCGAGTGCGGTCGCGAGCTAGCCATGGCGCGGTGCGGGTCAAGCGAGAGCCGAGGTTGGTCGACGGGGGCGGTGCGCCTTCTCTCGCTCATGGGGTAAATGGCGTCGAGGGTGAAGCTACTCAAGTACGCTGTACTGAACACGCTGAGATGCCCGGCTTGATCGCGCAAGACGTTGTGGTCAAGCCGGGCTGTCGTGGTCTCGCCCTGGTCGAAGCTCTCAACGTCCTGCTCGCTGCCCGCCTCGAGCGCTCTCCTCCGACCGAGCCAGGCGTCCTTGCGCCTCTCTGTGTGCTCCACCCGCACGACATACTCGAGCGCGCGCGCCCCTCGTCGCGCCCCGTCGGTCCCGCTCCTCGTCCTCGCCTCCCCATCCCCGACCGGCTCGCCTCGCTCGAGCTCGACAGCCCAGCCCCGCCGACCCGATGACCAAGTCGCCCAAGCACCTCCTCCCGACCACCATCCCGCTCTCGTCCATCCACCGCGCCCTCTCGTCGTCCTCGACCCGCGCCGGCCGCAACTACTCGGCCAGGGCAGTCGCCCGCCCGCACCAGCCCGCCGCCCAGGGCCAGGGGCAGGCGCACGGCGGGCCCCGCGCCGCGTTTGTCGTCGTCCGCCAGCGCCGCGCACCCTCGACGCCTCCCCTGTCCGGCTCGTCGCCTCGACCCACCGCCCAGCCCGCCTCGCCCTCGTCCACCACCACCGGCACCACCACCACCACTGCCTCCTCGAGCGGCCCCGACGCCCCGCACGGCCTGCGCCACGCCTCGACCGTCGCGCCGTCGCACCGCCCCGAGGCCGGGCCCTCGCGCCCCTCGCCGTCGTCGTCGTCGGCCGGCGTCGGTTCCGCGCCGAGGAGCAGCAGCGGCAGGGGGGTCGCGCGCTTCCTCGACGCGCGCCAGTTCCACAGTGGGACCAGGGCGGCGCACCAGCAGGCGGTCGCGCCGTCGAGCTCGAGCGGCCACGGCGGGTTCCCGCCTGGTTCGGGCGGTGCGGCGAGCGAGGCGTCCGGGTTCCAGCCCAAGCACCACTCGTCGCTCGCGACGCCCGGCGGCTCGTCGTCGTCGTCGTCGTCGCACGGCTCGACGTCGTCGGTCGCGCTCGACCCGTCGTCGTCGTCGTCGTCGACTGCGCCCGCCTCGTCCTCGTCGGCCCAGTCGGCGCAGCAGCAGACGTCGACCTCGACCTCGCAGCAGGAGCAGGAGCAGCAGCAGCAGCAGCAGCAGCCCCCACCCGCGACGCTCTTCACGCACGCCCCGCCGCAGCAGCTCCCGCCGCACGCGCTGCCGTCCTTCTTCGGCTCGGCGCTCAGCATCGCCCGCCGGAGCAACCTCGTGTTCCGCAACGGCGCGTACGGGATCCCGAAACCCGACCGGTACCGCATCCCGTCGTCGTCGAAGAAGGGCAAGGAGAAGGCGGGCGCGGGCGCTGCGGCCGAGCAGGAGGCCGAGGAGCACTACCTGAGCGTGGGCGTCGGCGAGGACTCGGTGCGTCGACCGGCTCTCTCTCACTCGCACGAGAGCAACAGTCACTGATCCCGGTCGAGCGCGCGCAGTACTTCCTCCGCTCGGACTCGCTCGGCGTCGCAGACGGCGTCGGCGGGTGGTCGGGCCACGCGGGCGCCAACTCGGCTCGGTGGGCGCGCAAGTTCATGCACCGTGCGTCGTCCCCCTTCCTCCCTCGCTCCTCGCTCTCCTCCTCGAGCGTGCCTTGACCCTTGTTTCTCGTCGCCCGCCACCCCCCCCGCAGACTGCTCGTACGAGCTCGCGCGGTACGAGAACGTCGACGACGACATGTTCCTGCGGTACTACGAGGTCGACCCGGTCGACGTCATGCAGCGCGCGTACGAAAAGACGCTCGGCGAGTGCAAGGAGGAGGTGCGTCCACGCGCTGTTTCTCTCTCGTCGTCGTCGTCGTCGTCGTCGTCGGGGCGAGCCTGACCCCTCTTGCTCGCCGCACAACAGGGCACGATCGGCTCGTCGACAGCGCTCCTCGCCGTCCTGCGCAACGACGAGCTGCGACTGGCCAACCTGGGCGACTGCAGCTGCTGCGTCATCCGCGGCGACGAGTACATCTTTCGCTCCGAGGAGCAGCAGCACCGGTTCAACTACCCCTTCCAGGCCGGCACCAACGCCAAGGACGTGCCCGCACGCGACGCGCAAAAGTTCACGGTCAAGGTGCAGCGAGACGACATTGTCATCCTCGCGAGCGACGGCCTCGTCGACAACGTCTTTTCGGACGACCTCCTCGAGGAGGTGCTCCGGTTCGTCGGCTCGTCGCACGCCACCTCGTCCTCGTCTTCCTCGGCGCCACTACCACCACCACCCTCGTCGTCGTCGTCGTCGTCGTCGTCGTCGTCGTCGTCGAGCACGGCCCCGCGGTACACGCTGCGGCGCTTCTCGCCCCAGGCCGTTAGCGAGGCGCTGTGTTTCCGGGCCAAGAGCGTGTACGAGGACCAGCGCGCGGTCGCGAGCCCGTTCCAGCAGCGCGCCATGGACGAGGGCATCCACTTTGCGGGCGGCAAACCCGACGACGTGAGCTGCTTGGTCGGCGTCGTCGGAGAGCTCGAGGCGGCACCGGTGCGTCGTCCCCTCTCTCTCTTTCTCTCTCTCCTTTCCTCGCTTCGAGCCTCGTCCTCCGCATGGTCACTGACTCTCTCCTCTGCCGTGCAGAATCGCCGCGACGTCCAGTGAGCGGCGGCTCTCGGACCTCGTCACCTGACCCTCCCTCTAGACTCTCTCTTTCTCCTCAGTACCTCGCTCCTTCTTCTCCTCCTCCCTCTCGGTTGTACGGCCCTCTCTCTTCTCTCGATTGTTGTGCAACGACGTTCTCTCTCTCTCGCCTTTGAGCGTGCGTGTCGGACGAGAGGAGCGAGCGAGAGTGCGGTGCATGTGGGGGACGAGCGCGGCATTCCGACTCCGACATCTCGGCGAGCCCGAGGCGGTACTACGTTTTACCCAGCACCCTTGAGGTGCGCGGCCAGATCAGGTGATTCGAGCCAATTGACGAGGAGAAAGTACAGGGGGGAGCGGAGCGTGCGTCGGGTAGCCGCGCCGCGCGCCTCGGAGGCTCGGTGCTCTTTCTCGTCTCTCCCTCCTCTCTCCTCCTCACTGCCCCCAAGCCGCACGCAAGTTCACCATGGCGCCTTCCCTCGACAGCTTCGCCGACAGCCTCACCCACGCCCTCCCCTCGTTTGGCTCGAACGGCACCGCCGCCGCCGCCGCCAAGGTCCCCCACAAGCCGACGACGCTCCACACGTTCAAGGGCGCCGCCGTCGAGTCGTCCAACCTCGACGTCGTGCGCGACTTCGCCAGCACGTCGACGATCGCCGACACGCTCGAGCTCGACGGCTACTCGCTGTCGCCGGCCGACGTCGTGTCGGTCGCGCGCAAGCACCGCCGCGTCGCCATCAAGCAGGACGCCAACATCCAGCTCCGCATCGACCAGTCGGTCGAGTTCCTCCGCAGCCAGCTCGGCAACTCGGTGTACGGCGTGACCACTGTGCGTCCCTTTCTTGTCGTTCCGTCGTGACCTTCCCAAACTGACTCTCCCTCCCCTCTCGCGCGCAAACAGGGCTTTGGCGGCAGCGCCGACACGCGCACCGAGGACGCGACGTCGCTCCAGAAGGCGCTCATCGAGCACCAGCTGTCGGGCGTCCTCCCGACCGACATGAGCCGCCTCAGCCTCGGTCGCGGCCTCGAGAACGCCATGCCGCTCGAGGTTGTGCGCGGCGCCATGCTCATCCGCGTCAACTCGCTCACGCGCGGTCACTCGGCCGTTCGTCCCGTCGTCCTCCAGGCCCTCGTCGACTGCCTCACGCACGGCGTCACGCCCGTCGTCCCGCTCCGTGGCTCGATCTCGGCCTCGGGCGACCTGAGCCCGCTGTCGTACATCGCGGCCGCCATCACGGGCCACCCGGACTCGAAGGTGCACGTCGTCCAAGACGGCGTCGAGCGCATCCTGCCGGCGCGCGAGGCGCTCGCACTCTACGGTCTCGAGCCTGTCGGTGCGTCCCTTCTCTCCCTCTCTCTCTCTCTTCCTCACTCGCGCGCCCGACTGACTCGCCTCGTTCCTCGCTCGCAGTTCTCGGCCCCAAGGAGGGACTCGGCCTCGTCAACGGCACGGCCATCTCGGCCGCCATGGCGACGCTCGCCCTGCACGACTCGCACAACCTCGCGCTCCTCGCCCAGGCGACGACGGCGCTCACGGTCGAGGCCATGGTCGGCCACCAGGGCTCGTTCGCGCCCTTCATCCACGACGTCGCGCGCCCGCACCCGGGCCAGGTCGAGGTCGCGCGCAACGTGCGCACGCTCCTCGACGGGAGCTCGTTCGCCGTCGCGCACGAGGAGCACGTCGCCGTCAAGGACGACGACCACGAGCTGCGCCAGGACCGGTACCCGCTCCGCACGAGCCCGCAGTTCATGGGCCCGCTCGTCGAGGACCTCCTGCACGCCTACTCGGTCCTGTCGCTCGAGAACAACACGACGACCGACAACCCGCTCATCGACGTCGAGGAGAATTCGGTTTTGCACGGCGGCAACTTCCAATCGGCCCACGCGTCCATCTCGATGGAGAAGACGCGCCTCGCCATGGCGCTCGTCGGCAAGCTCGCGTTCACGCAGCTCACCGAGATGCTCAACGCCTCGATGAACCGCGGTCTGCCTTCCTGCCTCGCCGCCGAGGACCCCTCCCTCAACTACCACACCAAGGGCTTGGACATCGCGACGGCCTCGTACTGCTCCGAGGCGAGTCGCTCTCACCGGTGGTCGGACGTCCCTCGACGGCGCTCGGACCCCTGACTGACCTTCGTCTCCCTCCTCCTCCCCTCTCGCAGCTCGGCTACCTCGCCAACCCGGTCACGACGTTCGTCCAGCCGGCCGAGATGGGCAACCAGGCCGTCAACTCGCTCGCCCTCATCTCGGCGCGTCGCACGGCCGAGGCCAACGACGTCCTCTCGCTCGTGCGTCCCTCGCTCTCTCTCCTCTGCCTCTACGGGCTCCGACTGACACCCTCGCCCGCCCCTCGACCTGCAGCTCCTCGCGTCGCACGTTTACTGCGCCGTCATGGCGGTCGACCTGCGCGCGCTCGAGTTCGACTTCAAGCGCCAGTTCTACCCCGAGATCTCGTCGCTCCTGACGCAGCACCTCGGCTCGGCGCTCGGCTCCGAGGCGACGACGGCCGAGCTCGTCACCAAGGTCAAGAAGGCGCTCGGCATGCGCCTCGAGCAGAACTCGACGTACGACCTCGTCGACCGCTGGCACGACGCCTTCTCGTTCGCGACCGGCGTCGTCGTCCAGCACCTCGCGTCGTCGTCCCTGTCGCTCGAGGCCCTCAACCAGTGGAAGGTCGCGAGCGCCGAGCGCGCCATCGTCGTCACGCGCCAGGTGCGCGAGACGTTCTGGGCGACCCCGAGCAGCGCCGCGCCGGCCCTGTCGTATCTCGCGCCGCGCACGCGCCTCATGTACACGTTCGTGCGTGAGGAGCTCGGCGTCAAGGCGCGCCGCGGCGACGTGTTCCTCGGTCGCCAGGAGGCGACGATCGGCTCGAACGTGAGCCGCATCTACGAGGCCATCCGCGACGGGCGCATCAACAAGGTCCTCGTCGACATGCTCGCCTAGATGGCCAGCTCGACGTTGACGTCGAAGGAGCGGCGAGGGTGACGAGGAGGGCGGCTTGACTCGAGTCGGAGGAGGAGGAGGAGGACGACGAGGTCGGACGGCTTAGCGACGGTGCCTGGTGCTCCCTTTCTCTCGATGCTCTCGTATCCTGCCACTCTCTCGCCTCTCTGTGTGACTAGACTCGGGACGATTCTGCAATACTTAGTGCGATTCCAGCTCGCCGTCGTCGTCGTCGTCGGGAGTGAATGGCTCTACGGCCTCGCGAGCTTCTACTGCAGCTCCTTCCGCATGAACTGTGAGAGAGGCGCGAAAGGAAGAGGATGAGAGAGAAAAGGAAAGGAGAGGGAGGGAGAGGGAAGGAGAGAGGGTGTGTCAGTCGAGGCTCGCGAGACGAATCGAGGAGAGGGCGAGAGGGAAAGGCGAGCGTACCACCGCCTCGAGCAAGATGTCGCGCCCGTCGACCGTCGTGGTCGGGTACCGCGGCACCGCACGCTTGTACGCCGTGTACCCGAGGCGCTGGTACCACTGCTCGTTGTTCCTCGTCGCCGCGCTGAACGTGAGCCCTTGCTGCTCCCACCACCACGGCTGCGACGCGTACTCGCCGTCGATCGTGTTGAGCGTGATGGAGCGCGCGCCGAGCTCGTGCTTGGCCTTGAGCTCCATCTCCTTCATGACGAGGCTGCGTGCGAGGGGAGAGGGAGGAGCACGTGTCAGTTCATGTGGCACGAGGCAGAGGGGACGAGGGGCGACGCACGAGCCGAGACCTTTGCCTTGCTGGCTCAGGAGGATGAAGAACGACGCGAGCGTGCAGACCTGTCGCGCGCGCGAGAGAGAGAGAGATAGTCAGCGCACGGGCGCCGAGAAGTGAGAGACGACGGCGAGGCAGCGAACGGCGAGCTCACCCCATTCTCTCGGTCGCACAGCGTCGTCTCGTTCGGGTCATAGTCCTCCCAGTCGACCGACACGTGGCCGATGGGCTGGAACGACAAGTCGGGAGGAGGAGGGCCGGCCTCGTCGACCTTGTGGTTGATCGGCTCGAACTCGGGCGTCTTGTACGCGCCTCGGTCGGTCGGGAAGATCCAGTACAAGTTCTGCGGGGGGTCGCACGTCAACTCTGTGGGTCGAGACGAGGAGGAGGGAGAGGGAGAGAGAGAAGCGTGGATCGCACCTTGACCCCTCGTCGCACCTGGTCCCGCCAGACCTCGACCTTGTCCGAGCCCCAGCCGCACAGCTGTGCGTCGACGAGAGAGTCAGTGTTCGCGCCCTGTGCGCTCGAGACGAGCGCGAGAGGGAACGCACGACGCGCTGGCGCTTGAGTTCCTCGACCTCGGTGGAGCGGTCGGGATCGAACGGCACAAGCTCGATGGTGCGGGTCGCAGTCATGAAGCGAGAGAGAGAGCAGCAGGTGCTCGTGCAGCGTCAAGCAGGAGGAGCGCAGGCTGAGCGAGAGCGAGGGAGCGAGGCCGCGAGCGAGTCAGCCTCGGCCGGGCCGGGCTGCCGTCGCTTGAGCCGGGCCGCAGCACCGCCTCACCGCGAGGTTCGACCGCAACTCGCGCCTGAGCGCAGCTTGCTGTGCGTCGTCGGGACGGGAGCTCACATGACTCTCCTTGCTCGAGGTGAATGTGCTCGTGCTCTCGTGCTCACGAACCAAGGCGAGGAGAGCTTGAGGAACCACAGCTCGGCTCGCCTCTCTCTCGTGCGTGCAAGAGAGAAGGCAATGTCCGATGCATGCCAGAAGCGCGGTACGAAAGTGGGTGGGTGGGCACAGAAGGGAGGCGGCGCTCGACGCGAGGCGGGCGCGTGTACAACGGGCGAATGAGGAATGTGCATGGGCGAGGTAGGGTGGGTACTTTTTCGACGACGGCCCGTCAGGCGATGATGGTGAGCTCCTTGGTGCGACTCTTGGCGTACACCTCCTTGTAGTCCTCCCAGATCCTGGCGAGGGGCCGGGAAGAGGTGTCAGGCTCGAGGTCCGCAGGCGAGAGAGACAGGGAGGAGTGAGCTGGAGGACGGACCTTTTGAGCTCGGCGATGTACCGCTCCTGGACTTCTTCGAGGTCGGCAGTCGACGGGTGGTCCTTCTGCTTGACCTTGATCGGGCGGCCGACTGCGGGCACGTGGGACGCGAGGGTCAGAAGGAGAAAGAGGCTCGAGCTCCTCGCCCTCGCCGACCGAGAGTGAGAGAGCGAGACGCACCGACCGAGACGATCGGGTGTCGGTACGGCATCAAGCCCATGTTGTCTGCGGGCGCAGGTCCGAGGAAAGGTCAGTGCGACGGTCGAGAGCTGGACTCGAGGAGGAGGGGCAGGGACGCACAGTTGAACAGGCCTCGGCCGAAGAAGATGGCTGCGCGCAGGTCAACGAGTGTCAGTGTAGGCCAGACAACCGCGACACGAGGCGAGGAGGCGAGGACACACGCAATGTGAAGCCAAAGACGGCCTGGAACCGCTTCTGCAGCTTGTACAGGCGCGTCCCTCGCTCGTTCGACAGCTGGTTGAAGATCTGCCGCGCATCGACGAGGTCAGTACGTCTCAGGCCTGCACTGAAAGAGAGCGAGGTAGGGCGCACGTCGTTCTCGCCAAAGGAAAAGACGGGCACGAGCGAGGCGCCGGTGCGGATGGCGAGCTTGATGAAGCCCTTGCGGCGCTTGAGCGTCAGGTCGGCCGTGCCAGGGTGCGCGCTCAGGCTCTCGGCGGCGCCGCCGACGACGATCGTGATGGACGAGCCGGGACCTGGGCGCGGGCTCGCGAGAGGGTCAGTCTGTGCGGCCTGAGCGAGTCGACGTCGAGGGCTCGACAAGGAGAGAGAGAGAGCGGGGCGCACCTTGCCGCAGGATGTTCTGGCAGCTCTTCATCGAGACGGACGAGATGCCGAGGGCGAGGAGGAGCTCTCGGTAGACTGGGAGCTTGAAGTTGCTCGCGAGCGTGAGGAGGTGCGGCGTGATGCCCGGGAACAGGCGCGAGAACCCGGTCGCGTCGGTGCCAAAGTTGGCGATGGCGCCCATGCCGATGACGCCGTGAGGGTGGTAGCCAAAGACGTAACGCTGGTCGGGCGGGAGGTCGGCGCTCTGCAGGACGGGCGAGAAGGTCAGGATGTGCGCTCGGCGGAACGGCGACGGGCGCTTTGCGGTCGGCGCGGGTGCCAGGGACGTCGACTCACCTTGATGAGGCTGCGGGAGAGAGCGCGGGTCAGCTCTGCATGTGCGTGCAAGGGTTCGAGGCGCGCGTTCACGACGAGGAGGACCGAGGGCGCACCTGACGGGATAGTAGCCGGCGAACCACTCCCACACGCGCGACTTTCGCAGCCAGGCTTGTGGCCTCCCGCCGCGCATCGGCGCCTGGTCAATGAGGAAGACCCAGGTGAGGTACCCGATGACGAGCGGCCAAAGAGGAGGGAAGGAGCTGCGGAACGGACGACAAGGTCAGCGCGGCCCGGTGGCTCTCGAGGCAGAGCTGGAGCTCGGGAGAGAGAGAGGCTGGACGCACCACAGGATGCAGAAGATGCCGAGCGAGATAGGGAGGGCCGTCGTCCACAGGAAGACCGAGAACGTCTGGAGGCGACGGTGCCGCGGGACGACAAAGGGCACGAACCTGTGTGGGAGGTCCGAGGAGGTGTAGGTCAGCTCTGGGCAACGTGCGCGGGTCTGGCGTGCCGTGCGAGGCCACGAACGGGCACCTCGGGCTCGAGGTGGGGGAAAGGGCGAGGAGGACGACGGAGGCGAGGACGCACTTGATCTTGGTGTGGTCCGACTGGTCGTAGTCGACCTCTTCTTGTGCGCCCATCGTGCGTGTCGGGCAGCCTGTGCCCAGGCGAGCTTGGCGGGAGTGGAGTGAAGGCGAACGTCGACGTCGCCGAGCAGGCGGGAGCGACGACTGTGCGACGGCCGCAGCTCTCTCTGCCCTCGGGTGGGCTGCTTTCCACCTGGACCAGTCTCTCTGCAGTCCTGGAGTCGAACGCGCCCAGATCTGTCCTGAACGAGAGGCAGCTTTCGTGCTCGAAACGCGGGGAGTCGGCGCAGGTCGCATCCTCCGCAGCGCGAACGGCGCAGGTCGCGCAGACGCTGGTACTGGTGCATTATCACAAAGCCCTTGCGAAGGCACGCCTGCTTGGCGACCGAGAGCGGCCGGTGTCTCGACTGAGATTCTCATCAGCTCCTCCTCGACCTCGCCCTCTTGCAGCTTCTCCCGTGCCCACGTCTCGCTTGTGCGACTAGCCGAGACGACCGGCCGCTTCCAAGACCCCGTCGCGACACCGCCATGTCGTTCGCGCGCGCACCAGAGCTCCTCTTTCCCTCGAGCGTCAACTCGCTCCAGGACGACCGCAGCGTGATCCGGGCGCAGCTCAGGGACACGTGCGTCCGACGTTCGCTTCTCACAGGGCCGTTGAGGACCGACTCTTTCCGCTCCTGCAGCTTCAACCGCCTGCACTCGATCGCGCACGACGCCGACTTCATCCACGAGCAGGTCGCGCAGGCGTTCCCTGATTTCCCTGTCGTCGGTACGTCCTTCTCTCGAGTTCAGCCGTGGGGGTCTGTACTGACGGTCATACCCGCAGCGAATCAGCGAGCCGGCGCGTGGTACGTCAAGCCGTCCGACGCGAAAGCGCACGCCTACTTCAAGTGCGCCCCCTGTCTCTCCCTCTCTCTCCGTTCGTCTCTCTTTCGACCTGCCTGACTCATCCGCAACAGATCAACCGACGGGCACGCCAACGAGCACAACTTCAACCTGAGGCGTGAGTTCTCGACGGGCCAATCTCACCTTCGAGCGCGCCCCTGACCTTGCCCCGACGTGCGCAGGCGCCAACCTCGCTTTGCTCCCGCTCATCAAGGACCGACAAGGGTGCGCCTCCTCTCTCTCCCTCCCTATGCGCCCCTCTGACTGACATCTCGTCGCAGGATCATCCTCGTCGACTCGACTCGTCGCGGCAAGGTGCGTCTCTGGCTTTCTCTCTCACTCGCGCGCGCACAGCTCGGGCGCTCACAACCCCTCATCTCCCTGCAGCGCTTTCCCGATGCGCTGTCCAAGACGATCCCGCTGTGGTGCGCGACGCTCAACCAGGCGCGCGTCCTCCTCGTCCCGCCGACCGAGGACAACTCGAGCGTGTCGGCCGACGAGTGGCGCGAGCAAGGGCGCCTGTACACGTCTCCTCAAGCTGTTGGGCGGTCCGAGCACTCGCAGATCGAGGTCAAGATCGACGCGTGGGCGCGGGACTTGGCGGTGCGTCTGCGTCGCCGCTCTCGGCCCTCTTTCCTCTCCTCGCCCCGACTGACTCACGGTGGCTCTCCTGCAGAGCTCGGCCTACGACCTGTCGGCGCTCAAGACCCTCGACCGCCCTTTGCGACCCTTCTTCGTGTCGCCCGCCTCGACCCTGTCGCTCAGCCCGGCGTCCTCGTTCAAGGACTGCTACCCGGTCGTCTGCGCCAGCGCGAGCAAGCTCGCCGAGGAGGCCGACGGCCTCGAACGAGCCCTCGGGTTCACCTACGTGCAGGGCAGCGGCGACGAGTGCGTCGTCGCCGAGCCACTCTGCCTTCGAAGGCCGACCGTGACTGACTCGCCGTTTCTCCTTCTCGCAGCCACGAGGCCTGGTCCAAGGGCCTGACGCCGCCCGTCTTCTGGCAGCACGCCGACGACATCCTCGCCGCATCCCGCGACGAGATCGACGACGTCATCGCGCGCATCCTCGAAGCGTCGCTCGCCGACCTGTCGACCCTGTCGCTAGCGCCAGACAGCGCGCCCGCCATCGAGGTCCGGTCGACCCGGCTCCGGCTGCGCTTCGCCGCTCCGCCTGACGCGCCGTCGTCCGAGGACTCGACCAAGATCTCGGTCACGGCGACAAAGGCGCCTCGCTCGGACGCCCTCTCGCCGACGCGCCTCGTCGCCAAGCCGGGCAAGGCCGGCTACAACGCCTTCTTCTCGCCTGCGGCGCTCGAGCCAACGCTCGAGCTCGCGACCGAGAAGCTGCGAGCGGGCGAGGGCGTCCTCGTCGAGGTGGTCAAGGGCGAGATGCAGAGCGAGGCGAACGACCTCGGCGTCGCGGTCGCGCTTCTCCTCCTCGGTCCGTCTTTCTCCTGCGCCTCTCGGGTCTCCCAAACGCGTACTGACACTCTCAGTCTTGCAGCTCGCCTCTACGACGACGATGCGACGCTCCTCGACCCGTCTGCGCCGCCTCCCTCAGGTGCGCCCGGACCTCCTCTCCTTCTTTCCTCTCACTCGCCTTGACGCCCTCTCTCTCTCGCGGCGCAGTCTCGAAGGAGCGCATCCGGACTCGCCTGCAGTGGATCCTCGAGGTGTTCCCCGCCGTCAACCCGTCTCGAGCGGTCCTCAACCGGGTCAACGACTTTGCCATGTCTGGGGCGAAGCGGCGATAGACTTTTTGAGTAGCGCGGGGTGGGAATGACAAAGAATAGACGCGTTGCAGCAGCTACGCAAGGTCCATCGTCGAGACGCGGTCCTGCTTCCAGTCGCCCCGGGCTCGGTCCCCTCGAGAGCCGCCGAACCCGCCGTCGCCGGGCCGGTCGCGCCCACCGCCGCCGCCGTACCTCTCCCCGCCACCTCGCCCTCCCGCGTCGTACCTCTCTCGCCCACCGCCACCACCACCGCCGCCGCCGCCGCGCGACGACGACCCCTCGCCCCTCGACTCGGCCGGGTACCGCCGGCGCCCGCTGTCGGCCTTTGCGCGGATCTCGTCGAGCGTGAGGGCGTTCTTGGCGAGCGGGTCGACGAGCTCGTACTCGTCGGCCGTGTCTGTGCGCAAGGGAGCAGGGGAGCGAGGGAGGAGAGAAGGGGCGAGGGAGGTGAGGGGGAGGAGGGCGTCAGGGAGGGTCGATGGGCGCGGGGTGGAGCGCGAGACTGAGGGGAGAGGAGAGGAGAGGAGGACGCACGTCGGTCCATGGTGGCGTCCTTGCGGAACTTGAGCGAGTGGGCCATCCAGCCCTCGTCCTGCACGCGAGCGAGGCCCGAGACGCTTGTCAATCCCGTCCCGCTCACCGAGAGAGCGCGCGCCCCGAGTCGGGAGAGAGAGAGAGAGAGGAGACGCACATCGTCGTCGAGCTCGTCGTCGTTGAGGTCGATCCCATGCAGCCTTCCCTCGTCGTCCTCCCCCTGCCGCTCGGGCCCCTTCTTGGCCGCCGGTGCCGCCCTCCCCGCCTCGAACAGCTTGCTCCTGAAGCCCTCGAGCGCGCTCATGACGTCGTCGTCGTCGTCTCCTCCTCCCGCCCGGCGCTTGCCCTTAATGGGCGGCTTGGCCGCGCCGCGCAGGTACTTTTCGCGCTCGAGCTGGAGGAGCGAGGGCCCGGTGCGCTTGGGCTTCTTGGCGGTCGAGGCGGCGTCGTCGCTCGGTCGGGAGCCCTTACTGCGAGCGGGACGAGGGGCGAGTCAGTCGGCGTGTAGGGGAAGGGAGAGAAAGGGGAGAGGGAGACGCACGTGAGCTCTGCTTGCAGCTTGGCGATCTCGTCCTTGCGGCGCTCGCTGCGCACGAGACGTAGCGAGTCAGTAGCTGCACGAGAGAGTGAGGAGAGAAGGAGCGCGACGCACGCGTCCGTCTTGCCCGCCTTGTCGGCCTTCATCTTGCGCGCCTGCTCGAGCGTGACGCCCGTCTCGGCCTTTTGGCGCTTCTGCGCACGTTCAACAACCGCCTCGTCAGTCTCGTCGCCTCCAGGAGCGACACCGAGTCGAGTCGAGTCGAGAACGAGGGACGCACCTCGTCCCTGCCGCCCTCGTCGGCCGCGCGCTTCTTGCCCTTGTCGTCCCTCGCTCCCGCCGCCGCCGCCTGGGCCGCCGCCCCGCCTTGCACGAGGTCCGCCGGGAGGGTCGCCGACAAGCCGCGGTCGTCGAGGACCGTCTTGCTCAGGCGCGCGTCGTGTAGGGCGTCGTGCGCCGACTTGAACTTGGTCTTGGGGAGCGACGCATCGTCGGCGGCTTCTCCTCCGTCGGGCTCGTCACCGCCGAACGACAGGAGGGCCTTGTTCCTGCGAGGTGCGCGACGCGGGGTCAGTGTGTGCGCGAAGGAGGCAGAGGGAGGATGGAGGTTGAGGGACGCACTTGGTCCCCTTGCGCTTGCCCTGCTGGCGCTCCCTCGCCCTCTCGGCCTTCATCTCGCGCTTGGCCCTCTCCTGCTCCTTGCGCTCGGCGGCCGTGATCCTCGGCCGGATCGGGTCGTCCGAGTCGGCAAACGGGTCGACGCGCACCTCGGCGCTGCGGATCGTCGGCGCATACACGGGGCGGTCCGACGAGGCCGGTTCGAGCTCGACGTCCGACAGCTTGAGCAGGTTGAACAGCGAGTCGCCCGTGACGCGACCGAACAGGGTGTGCTTGTTCTGCAGCTCGGGCGTCGCGTCGAGCGTGAAGAAGAACCTGCGCGAGGGGGGGGGGGGGGGGGGAGAAGGGGAGGATCAGTGAGGGCCTTGGGGGTCCGGGAGCGAGGGAAGAGGTCGACGCACTGCGACGAGTTGGACTTGGTGGTCGGGTCGGCCGCCATGGCGACGAGTCCTCGACGGTTGAATTTGAGGCGCTGCGAGAGGGAGACATGCTGTCGTCGGCGAGGGGAGAGAGACGCAAGGAGAAGGGGAGAAGCGGGCGCACTTGGTTCGCCTCAACGGGAAAACTACCCTCGTCGTAAATACAATCGTCGCCGCCGCCAGTCTGCGCGATGAAGCCCGGTACGATGCGGTGGAACGGGACGCCGTCATAGTGACCTGCGCAACGTGTGAGTGAGCGCTCGTCGTGAGAAGGAGAGGCGAGAGGGGACGCACCTTCGAGGCACAGCTGAACAAAGCTGCGGGCGGTGCATGGATCAGTCTCGAGAGCTCGTACAGAGGAGAATGAGCTGTGGGCGCACTTGCGGACGGCTTTGGGGCACTCGCGTTTCCACAGTTCGATGAGGATGTCGCCAATCGAGGTGTGCAGGACGACGACGCCCTCGGTGAGGGGTTCGGTGACGCTGTGTGGGCAGTAGTGAGCATGTGTACTGGGTCAGGCATGCTCAACAGGCCGGCAGAGGGCTGCTCGAGGAGCAAGTCGGGAGATGAGGGGAAGGAGGGGGAGATGAGGTCGACGCACACGAACGACATTGCGGGACGCGGTTGTTCCGGGGTGCGGGTGTCGGTAGAGCTGCTGCAAGGATGAGCTGGGTGGCTGCACTAGCTCGTGAGCTGGCGATGCCGACAGAGGGCCGACCTCGACCTCGCCTCGTTGCTCGACCTCTCACTATCTCTCACGCTCTCCCACTCGCGCTCGAGATGGACAAGGACCGCACCGAGCCTCGACCTGCAGCTCCCAGGGACCATGCCCCGCCCGACCAGTCCACCTCGTCGTCGTCCCTCCCACCGATGCCCCCGCAGCAGCTCCCCGGCGTCTTTCCGCCACCGCCCAACCTCGACGACATCCTCCGCGCTGCGAGCACCCGTGCACCGCCGTCGCCGACCAGTCGCGCACGGCGTCCGCCCATGACGACCGAGCGCCCCGACGAAAGATGCTTCACGACGACTAGGCAGACCAACGCCCGCCGGTGCGCCCCCCTCTCCCTCCTCCTGGAGCTCTCCAAAGCACCGCCCTGACTGTCCTGCACCCACAGAGCCCTCGGTCGCGAGCCCGCCGTCACCATGTACTGCTACATCAACATGCGCAACGCGCTCGAGGACCTCGTCCCCGTCCCAGGCCACCCGACCGCCTTTCTCGCGCGCGACGCCCCGCCCGTCGACCAGCTCCCAGCGCTCAAGAAGCGCCCGGTCGTCGTCGACGCGCCCGAGGGCACGCCCGAGTACCGCTGGCCCTGGCTCGACGGCCGGTTCGTCTACGTCGCGCGCGGGAGGGACAACGTCGCGCGGCACATGCGCGAGATGGGCGGCGTCAGCGGCGAGGCGCCCCGTGCTCCCGCAGCAGCAGCTGTTGCGCCGGCCAAGGAGGGCGAGCCGGCGCCTTCGCCTGCCCCGGACGCGAGCCCCACCCTCGCCGCCGCCGCCGCCGCCGCCGAGGCGCCGCCCGCGAGCCCGAGCGGGCGCACCAAGCGCAAGCTCATGCCGCACGCTGTCGTCGTCGAGGGTGAGCGGGTCGGCGCGTGGGACACGATGCGGCGCATCGAGGAGCGCGTCGCCAAGCAGGAGGCCGACAAGGTCTTGCCGGGCAAGCGCGAGGAGCGCATGCTGCGGCGGGCCATGGGCTTCGAGGACGACAGGTGCGCCGCTCTGTTCCTCTTGCCCTCTCGAGTCTGCAGCGTCCGTCCAAGGAGCCGGGGCCCTGACCTCGTTCATGCGGGACCATCTCGCGCACAGCTCGGAAACCCTCATCTCGCTCTCGGACGCCTACTCGTCGTCGCTCCAGCGCCTGCACGTCCACCTCGTGCGCATCTACTCGCCCGGGCTCAAGAACCTCGCACGCCTGCCCGCCATCTGGACCGACGGCACGGCGCGCGACATGTGCGACACGGTGACGACCCGGCTCGGCGACGGGAGCGCGTTCAAGCTCGTCGGGCGCATGTGGGACAGCCTCGGGAGCGTGCAGCAGCAGCTCGAGGAGCGGAAGAGGCGCAGACGAGGAGGAGGAGGAGGGCCGGGCGAGGCGGACCCGTTTGGAGGGACCCAGCCGCCTGTCGTCGGCGGCGGCGGCGGCGGCGGGGGGCCGGGCTTCCCGCCTCTGCCGCCGCTCCCTCCTCCGGCGGGCGCACCGCGCGCGACCGAGGGCGAGCAGGCGGGGAGCGCGGCGGGTGAGGGTGCGCCGCGAGGGCCGCGGGACGAGCTGCCGCAGGACCGGCGCCACTACGTCCACGACGTGCGGTACTACCAGGCGTGCACCGTTTCGTGAAACGCGTGCCTGTTCACTTCTCACTGCGAGAGCGCGAGTCGGCTCAGGGTCGTCGACCGAGATTCGCTGCGGCCGCTCGCGTCCGCTTTCTCTCCCCTCCTTTCCTCGTCGGCGAGCTTTCCTGACTGCAGCGCCAGCTCGCGCGAGTGAGTGACGAAGCTCTGCAGCTGCAGAAAAGCTTCTGTGACCGAGAGTCCGCCTCCTGTGCGGCGCACGTTCGACCTCCTGAGAGCGGCGCACGCGCCTCGCCTCCTCGCCGGCGCCGATGTTCGGCCGCGCTTCGCCTCTCTCCTTCGCTCTCCTCACTCGCCTCGCCTTGCTCTCTCTCTCTCTCTCTCTCTCTCTCTCTCTCTCTCTCTCTCTCTCTCTCTCTCTCTCTCTCTCTCTCTCTCTCTCTCTCTCTCTCTCTCTCTCTCTCTCTCTCCCCTGTCGTCGACGGCGTGCAGGAGCGTCCACGCCGCTGTCTCTTCCCGGGTCCGCGGACTCGCCGACAGCGACGAAACCCTCCCGCCCCCACCACGCCAGCAGTATTGACCTTCTGGCGTCCCTCTCGCAGACCAGGACGACCGTCGCCCCGTGTACCCGGTCATCAACGCCTCGCAGAGCTTCAACTCGTCGCTCTTCGCGCCCGCCATCACCGTGGACGGCCGCATGGCGTTCACGCACCTGTCGCCCGACGAGCAGCGTGCCAAGTACCTCGCCGAGCAGGAGCAGGACAAGCAGGGTGTGGCGGCCGGGCAGCAGGAGCACGAGGAGGAGGAGGAAGAGCAGGCGGAGGAGCCCAGTGCGTTTGACGTTTCGCCACCGGCCTCGAGCTCTCTACTCTCGGTACTGACATCTCCTGGCATGTCCGCCGCGTACACCTGCGCACAGAGCGCCGCGCCTACCCTCTCCTCGCCGACCCGTCGCGCCCCGACCGCCGCCAGCTCGTCGCCGGCCTCGACGGCGCCCCGCTCCTGAGCCACCTCTCGCCCGAGGAACAGCACGCCGACTGGCTCAAGGGACAGGAGGAGGAGCGCGGCGGCAAGGACAAAAAGGTGCAGGCCGAGAAGGTGGGCGCTACGGGCGAAACCGAGGACTGAGCGTCCCCCGAACTTCTCGCTTTTGCCATCCTGTCTGCTCTCCCGGTCGTCTCTCGACGTGCAACGCGCTTTCTCAGTGCCTCTCTCGAGTCGTACGGCAGAAGAGAGAGTGAGCGAGCGTGCCTGTTGAGCGAGAGGAGAGCTGCGAGGAGGCATCTCTCGGTGGCGCACTCGTTGCCCGAGTCTCGACGCAATGATACACCCTTGAGCTCTACAGCCCGTCCCGCTCAGTCCCGCTCTACCGCTTCTCGTCCGCCGGCCACTCGACGCGCTCGTCCATGCCGTTGAAGACGCTCACCCTGACGGCGAGCATGGCGAGGCCGCTGAACGTGCACGCGGCCCACACGACCTTGAACCCGCCGCCGATTTGCGGGACCCACGCCGGGTTGGCGAGCTGCGCGACCGTGGCCGGGCTCGCGAGCGCGCCGTAGCGGTACGCCTGGGTAAAGTTGTACGCCGCGCCTTGGGCCTGGAGGAGGACGCCGACGCCGATCGTCAAGGTGAAGACGAACGACAGGAGGGCCAAGAGGCCGCTCAGGTCAAACACGGTCCCGGCCGAGTAGCGCGCGAGGCGCACGACGGGCGAGGGGAGCCGCGCGTGCGGGAAGTAGGCGAGCGTCCACAGCGGGACGTACAGGACGGCCGACACGACGAGGAAGATGAGGGACGAGAGGAAGATGGACGGGGTCTGGGTCGACCGGAAGGGGAGTTGGAGGGACGAGAAGCCGAGGAGGGACGGCGAGACGGTCGTGAGGGCGGGGACAAAGTTGACCTTGGTGGCGAGGGGCGTGCACATGCGCTTTGTCGAGCCCGATGCTGTAGCACACGCCTCTGCAGGTGCGCCGGGGTGTCAGTACCGTGTCTCGAGCCTCGATAGACCGGCCGAGAGAGAGAGAGAGAGCGACGTACGAAAGATGTAGTAGTCGAGCCGGCCGGTCCCGTTGACCTCGACGACGCTCAGGAACGCCCTGCTCGGCGCGTTGTCGAACATGGCCGCGCACAGGAGGCCAAACCCGACGGCGAACAGGACGAGCGGGACCGCGGCCCACACGGCCGTCTCGACGCCGCTCCAGCTCCAGGTCCAACTCCACCCTGCGCGCCAGTCGCGCAACCGCCGCCGGGGCCGCACGACCTCGCTCGTGTCGCTGCGGCCGTCGAGCGCGGTGTGCGGGAACTCGGTCGACTTGCCCGTCGAGGGCGGCGAGACGAAGTACGAGTCCTTGGTCGGGTCGAGGTGGTCGGGAGGGAAGGGCGAGTTCGGGGTGTAGAGACTGACGAGAGGGATGGACGAGAAGGGTGGCGGGGTGGTCGGGTTCATGGTGGGTGCGTCGAAGCTCGGCTGGTCGGCGGTGGGGCGTCGTGCTGTGGACGGTGCGGCTCGAGGCGGGGCGAGGTTGGCGAGGCGAGGCGAGGAGGATCCGCGACGGCGCAGGAGGTCGGCGACGGCTTCGAGAAGGAGCTGAAGCAGGGCAGGGGGGTGCAGCAGTGCTCCCTGTCCGGCGCATGGCGAGGACGAAGACCCTGATCGCACGCAAAGCGAGCCTGTCTCAGGACGCGATGGACAAAGGGACGAGGTCGAGCGGGGGCACGGTGACAGGGCCTTGCCTGGCCTGGGAGGCGCAGCTCTGCCCGGCCGCGAGCCCGCACAGCATCTGATAGGCCGCGCGGGGCAAGCACTCGGGCCCTCGTCGGAGGAGGGGGAGGTGGACAAGGTCGACAGAGCTGATGAACTCTCGCTCTCACTTCCTCGCTCGCATACGACTCGCCCGCTCGCACTGCTGCGTGCAGGGCATCCCTGGAGTACCCAGCTTGCAGCTCGACAGAAGCGCCGGCCGCGAGCGTGCGCTGGCGCCTCTCACTCGCCTTTGTCCTCGTCCGAGCCTGAGCCTCCTCACCGGCGCTCGCGCACGCCGAGGGCGGGCCGAGCAAGCCTCTATGTCCTCTCGGTGGGCTGCAGAGGCGCGCTCGCTGCTCAGACTCTCGCTTCCGGACTCTTCTCCTCGAAACTCCCCTCGTCTCGCCTCCTCGCCTCGCCTTCTCCTACCTCGCAACGTCGCTGGTCGACTGCCTCTCCTATAACATTGACGCATCGCCATCGCCCTAATGCCTCCCTCGCGCAACCACCTGTACCACTCTCTATCGCCCCTCATCCTGCTCGCCGCCTTCCTCGTCTCGCTCCTCGCCTTCCTCGCCCCGACACCCATCCTCTCTGACCGCGTCTCGCTCCTCGAGGTCACCACCGGCGTCTCTCGTGCGGCCAAGGCCCGTCGCTGGATCGCGCCCGACGACTCGATCGCGCGGGCCTACTCGTACACGTCGCACGGGTTCGTCAAACGCGCCAAGAAGGCCAACTCGTCCTCGACCGCGACGACGGTGCCGGTCACCGTCAAGATCGGACCTCTCGGTGCGTCCCTCTCATCGTTCCCCGACGGCAACCGAGCCTGACCTTTTCTCGATCGTGCAGGCGCTTGTTACACCAACTTGACGACGCTCGACCAGTCGTGCATGTCGCCCTCGTTCACGCCCATCTTTGTCGACCTGTACGACGACGTCCTCAAGCTCCCCTCGCCCCTCGCCGCCGCCCTCCCCCAGCAGTTCCCCCTCACGACGACGGCCCTCTTCGTCTCGCTCGCCCTCATCGCCGTCCAGTTCCTCGCCGTCGTCCTCTCGTCGGCGTCGATGCACGCCTCGAAGAAGCTCGCGTTGGTCAACAAGCGCCAGCCGACGCTGCGCAAAGCGGCGACCGTGTGCGGCGCGGTCGGGCTCGTCGTCGGGCTCGCGGCGACGGGTGCGCTGCGGGTCGACCTCGGCAAGGCGGTTGACGCGGCGGCCAAGGTCGACAATGTGCAGGCCAAGCTGGGACCGGGCTTCAACCGTGCGTCCCTCTTTCCTCTGGCGCTCTCCTCAACGCGAGGCCCGCAGCTCATTCGCTCGTCGGCTGCCCGCAGAGCTCTTTGCTGCTCTCGCGCTCCAGGCGGTGGCAGTCGCGCTCCTCGTCGCCGAGGCGTTCACGTCCAAGTAGCGGCTGCGAGAGCGAGCTGCAACGAAGCGCACCTCCTCTCCTGCGGACCGTCCGCGGCGAGCCCGCACGCACCCCCACGTCCGTCTCGAAAGCCGGAGAGTCCGTGGACGCTCGCCGCGCTCCGCCTCTGCTTATTCCTTTCCCCTCTACTCGCTCAGCTGCACTACGAGCGCACTGCGGCGAGTGCGAGGCTGCCGCTCACGCTCGTCACGAGCCCGAGGCGCTTCACTCCCCGCTTCGTCCGCCTCTCGCCTCAACAATGCCGCCCTCACCTGTCCACACGACGCCGCCGCACACGCCCCATCCACTCGCCGAGGGCACGACGTGCGCTCCTCCACCTCGACCCGCCTCGCCGCCGCCCTCGCCCGTCTCGCAAGATCCTCCCTCTCTCGCCGCCGCACCTCCTCGCCCTGCACCGCCAGTCGAGCCCTTCTCCCCTCCACCCTCGCCCGTCCTCTACCGCCCACCGCACCTACGCCAGCCGCCCCTCCCGCCGACGCACGACCCTTCCTCGTCGACCCTGCCGTGGAGGACTCGGCCGCCCTCGCCGACGACGCCTCGCTCGACTGCGCGCCCGCTCCTCGAGGCGCACGGAGACTCGTTCGTGTCCGTGTTCGGCCTGCTCGGCTTCAAGGTCAAGGTGTTCAAGTACAGCGGCGCGTCGGCGAGGGTGCGCTCTGTCCCTCTCCTTCCCTTCTCCTCCTCTTTGCGCGTCGAGTCCTGCTCTGACCAGCTTTTCTCTCCTGTGCAGGGCCTGAACAGTTCGACCTCGAAGCTCGGGGTCGGTCCGCAACTCGTCGCGAGGCTCGAGGCAGAGCGGCCGCCGCACGTCCTCCTCCAGTTCGCCACCGTCGACCTCGCGATCAACTACCTGTGGTGCGTCCTCGCGTCCTCTCTCATCTCGTACCACACAGCCTCGACTGACTCTTCTCGACCGCGTCTGCAGGCAGCTCAAGGCCCGAGGCGCCGCCGCGTCGAGCCCGGACGCCTGGACCGACAAGGTCGTCGCTGACTACACGGCGTTTCTCGCGTCGCGCATCGTCCCGCTCGCCTCGCGCGAGCGCCTCAAGGTGTACGTCGTCGCTGCGTGTCCGCCGGTCGTCGAGGACCGCTGTACGTCTCTCGCTTCGCTCGTCGGCGTCGAGTGAGTACGACGAGTCGCTCACGGACCTTCTCTCCCGCAGACCTCGAGGCGATGGCCGACAAGTACCTCTTTGTGCGTCTCTCCTCTCCCTCTCGCTTTCTCGGACAATTCTCACGACCGACGCCCTCTCCCTCGCGCGCAGAAAGCCGCCGACGCACGCACCCTCCTCCCACTCTCGTCCGCCTCGCACCCTCACGACCTCGACACGCGCTCGCGCATGGTGCGCCGCTTCAACGCCGCGCTCGACGCTTTTTGCGCCGAGCACGAGTGCCTCTCGTTCGTCGACATCACGGAGGAGCTCGTCACGAGCGGCGCCGAGGAGGGGCAGACGCCGAGGGTGAGGGAGGAGTACGTCGACCGGGTTGACCCGACCAACGTGCAGTACGTCCCCCTCTCTCTCTCTCGCTCTCGCCTTCTCTCCTCTCTCGGACTGACACCCAGCACACCCACACACCCGCCGCAGCCTCCTGTGGGAGCCCACCCTCAGCCTGTGGGTCCGCGCCGTCGCGCCGCTCGCGCACCTCGCCGCCTCGCTCGACGCCGAGCGCCTCGGGCGCAGCGCGGAAGAGTACGAGAGGGAGAAGAGGGAGAGGGTCGAGAGGCGCGGGAGCGGGAGCGGGGCTGGGGCGTGAGGGATAGGGAGGAGGCGCAGGGAAGGGCTCGAGCGAGGAGGAGAAGGGGGCGCTCTCGGGGTTGTTGTTGTTCTCTCTCGCTCGCGCTCTCTGCTTGTCGTCGTCGTGCAACTCGAGGTGTCGTGCACCTGTCGCGCCTGTCGCCCGTCCTCTCTCTGCGCCGCTCGCGAGGCGGGCTCTCGCTCTCTGTCCTCTTCGGACCTTGAGAACGCGAGGAAGAAAAATGCTAGGTACACTGCACTGAGGGGGGGTAACCAACTGCTGCTGAAAGAGATGGGCTGTTGCTGTGTCGTCGTGTGCGAGGAGAGAGAGAGAGAGAGCGCGGGCGGGGCGTCGTCGTGCGTTGTCGGGAAGAGGAGAGCAGGATCTCTACTTCTGGACCTTGAACGGCGATGGAGGCGCCTCGAGGTTGTTGGCGAGCTCGGTCTTGCCCTTGCCGCTCGAGAAGTAGAGCGTCACGGCGCCGGCGCCGACCGTGATGAGCTGCGAGGGAGGTGGGTGGTCAGCTCGATCGCGGGTCGCTCCTTCTCTTCATCCACGCACGCGGCCGCTGCGCCACCGTGCAGGAGCGGCGCAGCAAGACCGCGAGAACCGGGGAGAGCCAGAGAGAGAGAGAGGGGGGACTCACGAGCAAAGGCCACGCCCACACTGGCCCGACCTCCCTCGCGGCCGTCTTGCGCGCGTTCCACGCCGTCGGCTTGATGTCGCCCGCGATCGTCTGCTTGTACGTCGACGTGTCGCGCGGGGCCTGTCGAACGGGCGCGTACAGCACGGGCGGGTCAGTTGGAGTTGCGATGATGAGGAGGCTGCGTGGTGGGGCCGATCGAGAGAGGGCGACGCACGGTTGCGAGGGTGCGGCGGGCGGTGAGGCGCGGTGCGGAGGAGAGGGCGGTGCGGCGGGCGAGCGTGATGGTCGACTGCATCGTGTTCGTGGGTGCGTGGTGAGAGGGAGGGAGGGAAAGCGAGCTAGCCTGAGCGCGTCATCGCAAGTCTCTCTCTGCCGCCGCGCTCCCCTGACAAAAGGTCGAGTGCATGCGCCCGCCATGTTCATTCCGAGCAAGCCAGGCACTCGAAGGATCGTCGCGTTAAGGCTTTTGAAGCGTCGACGGTCGAGAGAACCGGGGTCGGCCTTCTCAAGATCAGGCGCGGCTCGATCTCGAGGTCGCAGAGTGACTTTCAACTGCTCGCACAGCTACAGCTTCGAGAGAGAGGGGGGACTATGCACAGGGGCACGACGGGGCGAGGTTACTGCTTCGACTTGGGAACGTTGGGGTCGGTGCCGTCCGAGTTGAGCACCTTGTTCAGGCCCTCGTCGTTGTCGACGCCGTGGCGGTGCTGGATCTGCGGGCGGGGAGGAAAGAGGGTGTCAGTCACACGGGTCGGTCGTCCAAGAAACCAGCGCCGTGCGTCGAGAGCGCGAGGCGCCGGAAGGAGCGAGAGAGGCGGACGGACCGAGTCGTCGGTAATCACTGCGTGCGCGCGACGAGGTCAGTAGCCTGCGCGCTCGACGAATGAGTAGAGTGGACGCACAGTTCTTGACGAGGAACGCCGTCGCGACGGTGACAATCTGCGAGCGAGAGAGCGAGAGAAAGGCGAGGTAAGCCCCACATCCCTCGGCGACGTCGTGGGCGGCGCCCAGCGAGGCTCGCCACGAGAGAAAGAGAGATAGTGGGGCGCACCGTGCCAATGAAGGCCATGAGGGGCGTCACCTCGAGGCCAATGTTCTTGCGCGCGAAGAACGGGGTCGGCTTGGGCGGCGCATGCGGGACCGTCTGGTGCGGGCCCGACGTCTCGCTCGTCGCCTTGGACTGGCCGGTCGGTGCCGGCTCGGCGTAGCCGCGCGTGACTTTGTGTGTCGGTGCGCGCGAGTCAGTTCTCGGCGAGGTGCGGCAAGAGGGAAGAGGAGAGGGGACGAACGCCGAGGCGGTGCAGCGACGAGGGAGGGCGAGAAGCGAGCGGGGCGAGCTGCAGAGCGGGCAGTGCGGGCGAGAGATCGCTGGAGCATGGCTGTGTGGGTCGGCTGAGCGGCGAGCGGGTGGAGGGAAGGAGGGAGAGCCTGTTCGCCTCGTCGCCGAGCGGACAGTGACGCCAACGCCGCTCGCTCTTGTGAGCACCTGGACGAGCAGCTGTAGAGTCGTTTGACCATCTAGACAGTATCCCCAGCCGGTCCGTTGATTTCCTTGGGCGGTTGCGAGAGGTGGGCGGTGGCCTTTCTCTCCTCCCCATCTCTCGCTCTCCCACATCACGCGAGCTCTCGCTCCCAGCTCGCTCAGCCAGGCCATCGAACGCCCTCCACACGCGTCTCGACCTCGCGCCATGGCCTCGAGCTCGTTCACGTTCCCGCCAAAGCGCGGCAGCCCCGCGAGCGCGACCAGGGGCACCAATCGCCCAGCTCCCCAGCGCACCCACAGCGCAGGCAGCCGCTCGACCCCCTACTCGGTGCGCCCTCCCTCTCCTTCCTCACTATCAGAGCCGCCGCGCGCCTCGGGAACTGCGCTCACTCTCGGCCCCCCTCTGTGTCGGACAACAGCGCCCTCCTCCTCTTCCTGCCGCGGCGCCGTCCACCAGCGCAGCAGACGGCAAGTGGCAGCACGACCTCTTTGGTGAGAAGAGTGACCTGTACCGCCCCAAAATCAACACGGCCGCCCTCCTCGCGCGCGCCGGCGTCGACCTCTCGTCGTCGTCGGCCTCGCTGCGCCCGTTCGGCAACGCGACGCCCGCCGCGCAGCCCATCCTGCACGCGCCTTCGAACGGCCCACAGCTCGGCGCCATCAACGCGCGCGCGATGGGCATCAAGGGCCAGAACGCGGCGCAGCAGCAGCAGCAGCTCCAGCGCCAGCAGCAGCGCCAGGCCGAGATTGCCGCGCGCAAGGAGCGCGCAGAGGCGGCAAGACAGCGCAAGGTGCTCGAGGACCAGCGCCGCAGGACGCTCGACATTGCGCAGCACGAGCAGCAGGGCTTTGTCGTCCAGGTCGAGGGCCTCGTGAGCGGCACGAGCGCCGAGGACGTCCAGGTGCGCCTTGCTCTCCCTCTCCCTCTTCCTCTCCCCCTCTCCCTCGCGCCCGACCCTGACTCTTCCGCATCACGCAGGCCGCATTCGGCGCATACGGCGAGATCGTCTACTGCATCGTGCCCGACCCGGACGCGGCCGACCTCGTCGCGCGCCTCACCTTCTCCCGCCACGCCGACGCCGCTGACGCGTGCGCCAAGCTCAAGTGCGTCTCTCTCTCTCTCTCTCGCGACGATCAGCCTCGAGCCCCGGACTGACTCGCGCCTCTCTCCACAGCGGCGCCATCGCCGACGGCCGCCCGCTCGGCGTCAAGCAAGTCGACCGCACGCCCATCCCTCCCGCGCTGCCCCCTCTCGCGCCCCCCAAGCTCCAGCCCTCGACCCTCGCACCTTCCCCCTTCCCCTCCTCGGCCTCCTTCTCCTCCTCTCCCTCCGCCACGTCGGGCCCGTTCGCCGGCGTCCCGACCGGCCCTCGCGCCCAGCGCCGCCAGCCCGCACCCGCACCGCCGCGCATCGCGCTCCCGACCGTCGTGCCGAGCAAGATGTACGCCGACCAGGTCGAGGAGGCGCAGCTCGAGGCGCTCGGCGGCGCCGGCGACGCCATGATGGACGTCGACATGGCGACGGCGCCGGCTGCTGCGGCGGCGGCGGCGGTGGCGAGTGCGCCGGGTCGAGGAGCGGGTGGGAGGGGAGGCGGGCGCGGGGGACGGGCGGGAGGAGGAGGACGAGGAGGACATGTTCAGCAGCAGCCGCAGCAGCAGCAGCAGCTGTCGCTCGCGGCGCGGCTATCGGGCGCAGGGCAGCCCAAGGGGCAGCGGCAGCCGCAGCAGCAGCAGCAGGGCAAGGCGCACAAGCCGGCGCAGCAGCAGCCTGTGGGGCTCGCGGCGAGGCTCGGCGCGGCCGCGGCGCAGGGCAAGGCGGCGGGCCGTGCGGGGCCGCAGGGCGGCGGCGGATCGCTCTTGTCGCGATTGGCGTAGCGCACGAGCGAGAGTGGGGCGGCTGGGGTGGGGCAATGACACGCTGTGAGGTCGGTGCACGATAGAGATCGTCTCGACGAGAGCGAGATCTTGTGCGCGCGAGAGGCGAAGGGGAAGATTCAGAAGCCTCCCGCCAGGGTCCGATGCCGAGGAGGCGAGGGCCTAGCTCTGTGTCTGTCGAGCCTTTGAGATCCCGCCTAGCAAAGGGTCGGTCGAGGAGCGGGACGAGTGCTCAGCGTCAGCGAGCCCGCTGACTTGGAGGACGGCGCCCCACCTCGATCCGGACAAGTCCCGACTCTCTCACTTTCCATCGCTCATCCCTCTCACTCTTCCTCCTTCCTTCACCTCGCCAAAGCGACACACCCACACGATCATGCTCGCCCCATCCGCCCGCTCGCTCCTCGTCCTCCGCGCTCCCCTCGCCCCGACCCTCGCGGCCCGTGCGTCGACCGTCGCCTCGATCCGCGCCCTGCATTCGCACGGGTCCCTCCCGAGCTCGCTCCCCAAGAGCGCGGCCAAGCGCACCGTCACGACGTCGGCGCCGACGCCCCTCGAGCGCAACGAGCCGCGCGTCGTCGACAACCTTCCGTGGCCTCCCAAGCTCCGTGCGTCCCGCGCTGTCTCTCTCTCCCTCTTGCCGTCCGCGAAGCTGACTCGAGCGCGTCGGCGACAGGCAACACGGCGTGGAAGGACCGCAAGTCGGCCTTTACCGAGATCGCGCCCGTCTACATCTGGCCCGGCGTGGTGAGCTCCCTCTTCCTCTCGCTCTCTTTCCTGCCCTCCTTCTCGACGACTGATACACTCTCTCTCCCTCGTCCAGGTCTGCTTCTTCGGTCTCGTGACGGCCTACTACTACCACTCGACGGGCAAGGGCGTGCGTCGCCGTCACCTCCTCCCTTCTCGCCCGCGCCGTGACTGACTCTGTCCGTCTCGCGCTCGCAGTACCTCGAGCTCGCCACCAACCAGGAGGCGCCCCGCTCGCCCTACTACGAAGCCCGCAAGCGCCCCGTCTGAGCCGTCGTCGCCCGTCTTCCCCTGTACAAAGGTCCGCCTTCTCGCCTTCCCTCCTTTCCCTTGCTTGTGTACAAAGCCCCTGTCTTGCTCTCGTCGGTCTTCCTGCTTGTCTCCTGTCTACGACCCTTTTGTGTACATACGCCTGAACGAACTGTCAATAGGAACTCCTCGTCGTGCCCTCGCTCGAGCTTCGTCTTCGCGAGCAGCTTTCGGCTCGATAGGCTTCCCTGCTCGCGACATTCTCTCGCCCTCGTACTCTCGTGTCGCTCGAGAGGACCACCAGCTCACGCTGCTGCGCGAGCGCTGTCAAGCGAGGCCTTCTGCACGCTTGCGCGACGTGCTCGGCGGCCCGCTCAAGCCTCGCCCCGGCCCGCTCCGCCACCCTTTCTTCCACGGCCGCGACCTCGCCGGCTCCCGTAGAAGCTCGCAAGGTCCGATCACGCTCCACTCGAGCGAGTTCTCTGCGCCACGCTGGTCGTCGCGCACCTTCCTGTCGAGGGAGCCCCGGATCCGCGACCTTCTCAAGTCCTCGCTGCTCCGCCCTTCTCTCGTCCTCGCGCCGACAGCTACAAGAGGCGGCGGCATCTCTCGCTTCCTGCTTCCTACCCACTCTCACACACCAACACACCGCACACAGTGAGCCAGCCCCTCTCTTCCTCTCCTCGACGCGTCTCTCGCACCGACACTGACCACTTTCACGTGCCTCACTTCCTCCCTCCAGCCACTTCTCCTCGCACACCACCGCCTACACCATGTCGGCCTTCCGCCCCTCGTTCCGAGTCCTCGCCGCTCAGCGCCTCGGCCAGTCGACCTCGTCGACCGCCGCTCAGGCCGCGTCGCCCGCCGCTCGCCGTCAAGCCTCGTCGGCCGCGGCAACGATGCCGCACTCGTGGACGCCGCCACACTACTCGTTCAGGGTGCGTCTCTCTTCTCCCTCTCTCTCGCTTTCTTGCTCAAGCGCGACTGACCGCTCGCCCGCCCGCCCGCCCGCAGGAGCGCATCTCCCGCTTCGTCCCGACCGAAGCATGGCCGCTCATCACGGCCGTCGGCGCCATGAGCCTCTACGCGGCGTACCACGCCGTGCACGCGTTTGACCGCCCGGCAGGCGAGCTGCGGCTGACGCCCGCACGGTACGCCGCCGCTGCGTCGACCAACAAGGAGCCGTGGGAGGACGAGCGCGCGCTCGCTGGCAGGTGGTGAGCAGCGCCGGTCGGATGATGGTGCTCTCTCTGTTCGTTGTAGATCTCGTTTTGCATTGTGCCCGCCTCTTCGTCGTTCTTTCGAGGTGCTCGCGAGGAGAGGAGAGAGGGAGAGAGAGAGACAGAGAGAAAGAAGCGGGCCGAGCGCGCGCTCTCGACGGCGGCGACGAGCAGCAAGCGATCTCGGCGACGAGTACTGAGCCTCTACGAGAACGCGAAGAGAGTGATACAAGTGCTGCTGTGCATGCGAGTGTAAAAGATGCGCTCCTGCGTCTAGATCCGACCGTCTCCCCCTCTCGTTCGCCTCGCCTCGCCGAGCTCACCACCCGACTATCCGGCTCGGCGGGCCCCTCTCGACCTCCTCGACACGCTCCCCGAGCTCCATCAGTCCCCTGCGCATCGTCTCGGCCATTTCGCTCCGCATCGCCGCCAGCACGCCCGGCTCGTCGTCGAGGTCCTGCCCGACCGGGCGATCGTACGTCGCCGGGCGCCACGGCGAGGGGAACTGTGCGCGGTAGGCGGCGAGGAGCGGGTCGAGGAGCGGGTTGAGCGGCTCGCCGAACAGGATCGTGATGTCCTTGTTGCGGCGCGGGAGGTAGTTGGGCCACACTCGGGGCTCGTCCATGACGTCCTGGAAGCCTGCGCGCTCGTTGCGAGTCCTCGGTCAGCTGACTCGAGACGACGAGTGTGTGTGTGTGTGTGTGAGAGAGAGAGAGGGACGCACCCTTGATCCACACGGGCACGACGAGCGGCATGCGCTCGCACTCCATCAAGATGCGGCTGATGCCCCACTTGAAGCGCCGCAGCGAGTGCAGGTCCTCCTGCTTGATGCGGCCCTCGGGGAAGATGTGGACCTGGCGAATGTACTCGGGTCAGGTTTCGGCCGGCGCGAGGGGAGAGAGAGTGAGAGGGAGCTCACCCAGTTGCCGGCGTCGAGCTTCTTGCTCGACTCGTCGATCGCGCGCTGGTAGATGCCCTTGCCGCGGAACGTCTCGATGACCTGGCCCTTCTCGAAGAACCAGCGGTCCCACTTGCCCTGCACGACGTGAGGCGTGGTCAGCTCTCACCGCCTCACCGTGCCTCCGAGAGAGAGAGAGAGGCTGAGGGACGCACGTTGAACATGACGTCGCTCGCGCCGAGGGTCCAGCGGGTCCTGCGCGAGTCAAGGAAGGACCGCAGCGGGAGCGTGCCCCACATGAAGGGCTCGTCGACGCTGTGGGTTTGGCGAGAGAGATGAAGAGCGAGGGGTCAGCTCGTCCGGACGACGAGGGCTCGAGGGGCAGGACGAGGACGCACACAGAGATGTGGTTGGCGACTGTTGCATCGTGCAAGCGTGTCAGTGCCCCGCCCACAGCGAGAGGAGAGCGCGGGGGCGCACCGGTCAGGACGCCTCGCTCGCCTTGGAGCCGTTCGAGGAACTGCGTGAGGCCATCGACCCGCACGCTGCGTGTGCCCGCCTTGAGGAACAGCTTGCTGAAAGCCCCGACGGCGAACGGCACCGAGCCCATCGAGCGTGCGGCGCGAGCTGGACGATCGCAGCAGAGAGCCTCACCTTCGCCCGCCGCCGGCGACGACGACGACGACCAAAGGCCGGGAAGTCAATCTCGCACTCGCTCGTCTCTCTTGCTACAGCGCACGCACGACGAGCCTCTCACAGCTCTCCAGACCGAGACAGAGCGCGAGAAAGAGAGCCGCTCCCTCTCCTCCTCGTCGTGCTCGAGGGCGCGCGCGCGCAGTGTCCCTGGTTCAAGATCTGGTGTTACAGGGGGGCGTGCGAATGCGGCCAATGAGATGTAGTAGTGAGAGGGAGGGGGAGGGGGGGGGCGTTCCTGCTTGTCCGGGGGCGAGGG